ATCGAATATCTTCTACCTCCTTGTGTAGATATACCAGATATGTTAGAAAAACTCACCAAATTTGTTGCTCGCATGTGAATATAACCAGCACAAGTGCTTATGTATGTGTAACCAGGATACACTACTATCCAGAATCAGCAAATCCCTCCTATGGAGCTTTCATCATTGCTTGTCCATCCTCCACTCACATCCAACCAATTCAGAAGAAAAATATTCACATAGTGTAAAAAAAACAAATTTAACACTTACAATAAATAGTGACGCAAACGACACTAGGGAAAGTGCACAATATTATATTACTAAGCTGTCTCCGGCCACGTGTACAGACTCAGTATGCACAGTGACATTATGTCCAATGCGGGGCACGCTGTGGCATGATCTGTCACCTGCTGTGTCCGATGTCCACTGGACACAGCAGATGATCAATCAGTGTATCGTGCAGCTGCCGGTACCATGTGACCGCTGTGACCAGTCACAGAGATAAACACAATAGTACATAATGAATGGCTATGAATAGCCAATAACAGGGCCAATAACAGTGTATCTGTACCATGTGATAGCTGTGACCAATCACAACTTCACACTGGATGCCATTCATTAAAATTGTTGTTTATAACAGTGATTATCACTGTTAAAGGCAATCATTGTTGTTAAAAAAATGCTGATCACCTCCCCAGGGTAGTAGTGTAACTATGGTAACTCTATACTGTTCTGGTCAGAGTATGTAAAAAAAAGAAAAAAAATTGTAAAAAAAAAGTAAACAAAATTGAGAACATAATTATTTATTTTTTTACATACTGTCACCAGTCAGTGACCCTGATCACCAGTTATATGATGACACTGTACTGCACTGATGACAATATGTAAAATAGAAACAAAGTGAAAAAACAGTTTCTAGTTTCTTCATTTTCAAAAAATTGTGACAAAAAAATTAAAACTTCTAAAAACTCACCATGCTAAATACCTTGGAATGTCTACTTTCCAAAAATGAGTAATTTGGGGGGTATTTGTACTTTTCTGGCATTTTTTTGGACCTCTAGAAATGAGATAGGCCATCAGTATGTAGTGCTACCACCTTAAGAGCCGTTCAGTATTTTTAGGATCCGTGTCTGTTATAAGCCTGATTTGGAAACACAGCCCCCTCTGACAGCACCTTAAAACCTTGACCAGGGGATAACCCTGGCACTGAAACTCAAAGTAATCACACAGTTTAAGGTGACTGATTGTATTGAGATCAAAGTAATAATTGTATAAGCACAAAAGAAATAACAGTAAGTGTGTATAAAAGTTAGACACTCTGAAAAAACTCACAAGCACAGTGCCACTTTAGAACAAACCCAAAAATGTCCTGCAGGACCAGAGTATTAACGCCAATTCCTGCACTGAGATATCTTTCCAAAAATGAGCTGAAATTGTCTAGCAAGAATTTGGGATAATTCACATTTGGGTTCTCACTGACTGGGAACAGGGTTTAACTCTAAAGCTGGGTATGTAAATTATAATGTCTTTCATGCTTCATTGGGGCCCTAGTTGGTGCACATTAAGGTTGAGGTCCTTTTTTTTTTTTTTTTTTTAAAGCAAGATTTCCTGAAGAAGAAAAGCTAGTAGCTGAACCGAAAAGGGTCCCTTTTTTAGAATGTAAGTGAAGGCAAAGATTGATATAGATGAAAAGGTGGTGGGAGTAGGCTCCAGTAGAATTTGTATTCCAATAAGTAGGGAATTGGCTTGATGAAGCTATAGTGTATTGGAGTTGAGGTACTAGCAGTGGTACTCTCCACAAAGACACATGTGCCCCAGGGGTGCTTATAGTAACACTTGGGTGTGGGACCCCAGTGTGTGAACCGGCACATAGCCACAGCTCCAAAGACTTTATCTGCACTGTGCCTCTTAGGGCTAGGCCTTTTGGCTAAGTCCTAGGAAATTTTTGCTACCAGTCCTCAGGGCCCAGCCAGTGCACTATTGCACAGCCACTTATTTATTTTATTCACTTTTTTGTCACTTTCACATGTGTGTTTTTTTTTTCTCACTAGGATGGAGGGTATGGGTCCTCGGGCCTACCCTGAAGTCTAGGAGAGGATGTGTGGCCCTTACGTTGCTTCCTCCCCTGATCCTGGGGGATCTCTCTGTGGGAGAGCCCCTCAACCCAGTACTTGGTTGTCGGCTTCAGCTGGCCACAAGGAGAGGTATCCTCCAGGCCTTTAGACCATGTTGGAAACCTTGTCCCTGCCAGGAGCCTTGTGCCCTGGGGGATCAGGATAGAGGTCCTACCCCTTCGGGGGGGGGGGGGGGGTTCAAAGCACCCCACCTAAGTGCAACTTTTTGTGTGGTGTTTCAGCACCTTTTTTTTGTTCACTTGTTGGGTTTTAGTTTTTTGCACGACCATAGACGTAACAATAAAAAATATCATTTTTTAGGGTGGAGCAGGTACCTGCTCCAAGTTCCTGCTCTCATTTCTCACAGCTTTCTGGAACAGTCACAGGTCCCCCAAGGCTGCGGGACCATTCAGAGAGCACAGCCTGGCTTGCACATACTCAGTGGGCAGTCGCCTGTGAAGCCACAAGCAGTCACAGACGGGGAACAAAAACTGGTGAAGAAACTGGCCCTCACTGACAGCACTGGATCCTGGATCAGGTAAGTGTCTGTTTATTAAAGATCAGCAGCTACAGTTTTTGTAGCAGCTGATTTTTAATTTTTCCACAAGTTGCTGAAGAACTGCTTTAAGCTCCCTGCCCCCTGCTTTGTGGGTCTGTGAAAATTCTGTTTTACTGCTGAGATTTACAAGGCTGTACAGAACAAATGCTGCAGATAAACAGGTACCACTTTTGTAGGGAGGTTTGTTTAATCACTGTGTATAACCTAAGGCCAGTCACTTCACTGGATATATATAAGGGTTTACAACTACTTTAAGAGCCTAACATTATAGTATTATTACATTTTTTTTGGACATGGACACTGAGCCTCCTGATGGAGTGGAGCAGCAGTACAACTTCCAGGGCAGATTTATATAACACTAGGATAAGATACAGGAAATCTACAGCTTTGCTCACTCTATCCAAATGTTACAGAAAATGTTTGGCTGGAGTTCCACTTTAATTGCATCAATGAATTTTGTCCTATGTTTAAAGCCAGACTAAACCCATTGATCTATCTGTTCTCCAAAATAGTTACGTTCAAGGCAAGCTGTGAATGATTACTGTCATGGTTGCTTGTGCTCTTATCAAGCTATCAATGGCTGGTATCATAACTGATCACATGTGCAGCACTATGGCAAATCAAACAGAGGTTAACATGGCAGCTATTTTGGCTGTAAAGGATAGGAGGGTTTAGTTCCGCTTTATGTGCTCATCTTTCAAGTGCAATAGTTTGGGGTGCCTAGTAATTGTTGATGTGAAGCAAAGACAGCCAGATTGATTTTCGCTCCTTAGTTCATTAAAACTCAATAAGAAATTCAGCATCCCTTTAGGTTTTAATTCTGGAAGATCAGGACGATAATTCCCTGGCAGGCCAAGAGATAAAATGTTTGCTGCTGCTGCTAGTGCAGAACGATGGCTGCCTGGAGTCAGTCTTCCATCTCAGCAGAGAGGTTGGACTGACACAGAGATAATGCACGGAAAATCCGATAAAGACAAAACGCTCTGTACCCCTCTCTAGAGGAGACGCAGCGCAGCATTCATTGTCACATGCTCAGTGCCAGGAGATGAACAGCTTAATTTGCAGATAAATAGCCTGCCCTGGAGGCTGGGGTGGAGTGGGACACAGAGGTGGAAGCTCTGCTGGCAGTTGGGGCCCAGCAATATGAGTGGCAACGCTGTGACTAAACAGAAACACCAGCAAAAACTTTCAATTAAAGGCCCAGTCTTGTGAAACATGATGTTTTTTCAATTTAACATAAATCAGGGGACATAGCTACCTTTTGAGAGGCGTACCGATATATTCCCTGAATGCAGACTTCACATGTTTGGGGAATGCGTCTGTGTTACTGACCTCCGAAATGTGATCTTCAGTGAATCCTGACACCTGTTTTTTGGGGGTTTTTTTAACAAATGATAATTATACATGGCAGGACTGCGCTGAAACTGTGAGCCAAACATTTGGCTCGTAGATGTAGTGTGGCCCCATTGATCTCAATGGGTGTGTCTGTCAGGCAGTGCTACCTATCAAACTATGCAGCCCAAGACATGGCTGCCTGCAGCATGTGTACAGCCCTGTCATGGTGCAATGTTAGCATTATTATTAGGTGGTAACACCGTAACTCAGCCACCTGTTTTTACTGCCCCCCCCCCCCCCGGCCACCACTGTGAGATAGCCTTTACTGTTCCTGGATGCTGCACAAATGCAAAGAAACTTCACCAAATTCATTAAGCTCTGGGTCAAATTAACTTGCAATGTGAACAGCCTATTTGCCTTTAGTACTTCAACCCCATAGTCTGTAACATGGTCATGTATTTTTGTCATATTTAAAAACATCTACAGCTTGTATTAAAATAACACTAACATCGTTATCCTGCCATGGAGGTCCTTGTTTAGTTACTTCCTGATTTGGGGTGGCAACTCTCTGTTCCTGTCTCCCAATTGTGCTTCTGTGTTGTCAGCTTGCTATATGTACTGTTGGTCCTGCCAGTACTGATGTCATAAACATGTTCCACTGTTGTGAACATCAGGAAGGTGGCCCTAAGCAATGACATGGAGCTGTCACTGGAGTGAGTGCATGGCCAAAAAAAGTGGCTTCAGGATATCAGCGGAACATAAAAAAAATAGAGAAGAGTGAAAGCCCATCGCAGCTCTTTATAGTTAATTGTTAGTCAGAGGCTGAGTATCAGCTTATGCAATAGTCAGAGGCAAGTAAAATTTCAGTCAGGGCTGAGAGACTCTGCAGACCAGCTCTCTGAGACTTTCCCTTGCTCTGGAACTTTGACAAAAGATCTAGAAACAGTGGGCGGAGGTAAGGAGTGGCTGGTTTGTACTCTTAGGGGATCCTGGCAAATCCCCAGCAGGAGGTTTGGCTTGGAGCCAGGACAGCCCTTAAGAGTAACTGAACCGGGGGGGGGGCATGACCATGGCACTCTGCAGCAACATGGTGTAGGAGGTCTGTGCACCCACCAAGAGATGGTGCATACCTGATCCTGTGGTATGCTTGCCTGCTGTGCCCGCTGGTGTTGCCGATGACCCGGTCCGGCCCGATGACCCGGTCCGGCCCGATGACCCGGTCCAGCCCGATGACCCGATCCAGCCCGATGACCCAATCCAGCCTGACGACCTGGTCCGGCTTGGTACCTCGGTGCCCACTGTGGAGCCAGTTGACTCGGTGCCCGCTGTCGTGCCAGATGACTCAGAGCCCGCTGCCGAGCTTGGTGACTCTGTGCCCGCTGTCAAGCTTGGTGACTCGGTGCCCGCTGTCGTGCCAGTTGACTCTGTGCCCGCTGTCGAGCTTGGTGACTCGGTGCCCGCTGTCGTGCCAGATGACTCAGAGCCCGCTGTCGAGCTTGGTGACTCAGTCCCCGCTGTCGTGCCTGGTGACTCGGTGCCCGCTGTCGTGCCTGGTGACTCGGTGCCCGCTGTTGAGCTTGGTGACTCGGTGCCCGTTGTCGTGTCAGTTGACTCGGTGCCCGCTGTCATGGCAGATGACTCAGAGCCCACTGCCGAGCTTGGTGACCCAGTGCCCGCTGTCGTGCCAGGTGACTCGGAGCCCGCTGTCGAGCTTGGTGACTCGGTGCCCGCTGTCAAGCTTGGTGACTCGGTGCCCGCTGTCGTGCCAGTTGACTCTGTGCCCGCTGTCGAGCTTGGTGACTCGGTGCCCGCTGTCGTGCCAGATGACTCAGAGCCCGCTGTCGAGCTTGGTGACTCAGTCCCCGCTGTCGTGCCTGGTGACTCGGTGCCCGCTGTCGTGCCTGGTGACTCGGTGCCCGCTGTTGAGCTTGGTGACTCGGTGCCCGTTGTCGTGTCAGTTGACTCGGTGCCCGCTGTCATGGCAGATGACTCAGAGCCCACTGCCGAGCTTGGTGACCCAGTGCCCGCTGTAGTGCCAGGAGACTCGGAGCCCGCTGTCGTGCCAGTTGACTCAGTGCCCGCTGCCGTGCCAGATGACTCGGTGCCCGCTGTCGAGCTTGGTGACTCGGTGCCCGCTGTCATGCCTGGTGACTCAGTGCCCGCTGTTGTGCCTGGTGACTCGGAGCCCGCTGTCGAGCTTGGTGACTCGGTGCCCGTTGTCGTGCCAGGTGACTCAGAGCCTGCTCTCGAGCTTGGTGACTCGGTGCCCATTGTGCCAGTTGACTCGGTGCCCGCTGTTGAGCTTGATGCCTCGGTACATGCTGCTCCGCCTGATGGCCCGGTGCCTGCTGCTCCTCCTGATGGCCCGTGCCTGCTGCTCCGCCTGATGGCCCGTGCCTGCTGCTCCGCCTGATGGCCCGGTGCCTGCTGCTCCGCCTGATGGCCCGGTGCCTGCTGCTCCGCCTGACGTGCCTCCGTCCGCTGCCCAGCCTGACGTGCCTCCGTCCGCTGCCCAGCCTGACGTGCCTCCGTCCGCTGCCCAGCCTGACGTGCCTCCGTCCGCTGCCCAGCCTGACGTGCCTCCATCCGCTGCCCAGCCTGATGTGCCAGCCCCTGATATTCAGCCACTTACCTGACCCGGGCAGTGGAACATTTTGCCCACTAAGGACTGTTTGGAGCGTCCTGAGGCCGCTCCTTGAGGGGGGGGGGTACTGTCAGGAATGGACTCCCCAATGGTGGTGGGACTCACCTGCCTTGTGGGCTGCAGTGCCAGGGCTGGCCAGTGGGTGCTCTCAGCAACCAGAAGCTCACTCCTGCAATCAGCCATCACCTGAGGTTGCTTGCAGGAGGTGTATTTAAGGAATGGCCAGACCTGCAGTCAGTGCCTTGGTGTTTGTTTCCCATGTGCCCTGTTTCCTGTATCCTGTCTCCTGCCTGCTCGACTCTCCTGCTTGACTCTGACTCTGATAGAACTCCGCCTGCACTGACCCCGGCTATTCCTGACCATTCTTCTGCCTGCTCCCGTTGTACCTTTCTGCCTGATTGTTCCTGACCCGGCCTGCCTGACCGCTCCACCTCTCCAGCCCTGACTGCACCTGTACCTATTAGTTTAAGGTTTGTTTTATTTTGCACTGTGTTCGTTTATTTTGTGCAGCTCATAATAAATATTATTATTATTTAATAATTTCTGAAGCCTGCTGTTTCCCTGTGTCAGTCCACACATCTCTGGTCATACCGGGATCCCTGACAGTACCAAATTTAATGAGAAAACTGAAAGAATATGGAGAGCTATCTAACCTTAAAATCAACCCCTCGAAAAGTGTGAACTTAAATATAAATGTCCCAAAGGCTGAGAAAAAACTTTACAAAAAGAATTCCCCTTTAAACGGGGAGAAAAAGAACTAAAGTATTTTGGAATAAAATTAACATTGCCTATAAAAAATGTATATCAGGCAAATTATATCCCGTTAATAAATGAGAAAGGATGAATTGAGGAAAGCTTCTATGGGAAAGCAGTCATGGTTAGGCTGGATAAATATAATTAAGATGATAATAGTGCCAAAGGTTTTGTATAAATGTAATATGCTCCGAATACCTCTTCCTGGGTCCTTTTTTAGGTTTCTTAAAAAAATGATACTCAGATATGTGTGGGTTAATAGAAAACCAAAAGTTAAATATGAAGTTTTATGCAGTAACAAAAAAAGGGGGATTAAATATGCCAGATTTCAAGAAATATTATAATTCGGTGTTATTATCATGAATTGTAGAATAGATATACAATGCACAGGGGAGAAGTTGTGTAAAAATAGAGAGTTCACTTAGTAAGGCACCATTAGATAAGTATATCTGGATACCTCAGGAATTTTGTATGTGGGATAAAGACACATGCACTTTGACACAAAATGTATTTAAGATTTGGGATGAATTACACAAACGGAAGGAGTGGAAGTTTAATTCACTATCAATCCCGCTGGCGGGAACTAAATTCTTTCCACCCGGGAATGATAATATTTCAGGTAAATGGATTATTGATAGAAATGCATGTTTAAAAGATATTGTGGATAAAGGGGTTGCATGTTCTTTATATGATTTGAGGAATAAGGAGGAAATATTTTCTACACTAGATAAGTGGCAGTATGGTCAAATAAGACAGTTTGTTGCAAAGCTCCCACAACCACTAAAGACCTAAGAAGAAATGTATCCTTTAGAACAACTGTTGAGTACAAATAGAACACAAAACACACTACCTCTAGAATTTTTTGGAAAAGTGGGAAACGGAGCTCTGAACAAATTGAATGAGCAACAAAAAGTAAAACGACATGGAGCGGTGAATATGAATATAGTGGAAATTAATTATACAGTAAATGTCTGGTTAGATGGTATATTACTCCCAACATAATGCATAAAATAAAGACCAGAGCTCTCATCCCAGTGCTGGAGGAGATGTGGGAGTAAAGGCACAATGGCACATATCTGGTGGGACTGTCCCAAAATACAGGAGTTTTGGAGGGAGTGCAATATATACAAGAGATCCAGAGGATCAGTGTACTGATGGATCTGTGGGTTTTCCTATTTAAATAAATCAGAGCTTTAGGCGAAGTAATATAAACATATGATATTGTTCCATCTTTTAAATGCAGCCAAAATCCTTATTCCTAAATATTGGCAAACAACAGAAGCCCCAAAATTAAAGGATTGGTTGGAAAGAGTTGAATATATATGTAGGATGGAAGAATTGTGCCATGTGGATAAGGATAAAATGGAAAAATTCAAGAAGGCCTGGAAAGGATTGTATATTTTCAAGAAATCAAAAAGATTTTCAGAAGTGGTTGGAGTGTAAGGGAACAAAGGAAATAAATAAGCTTCTAGGAAAAACAGAAAAGAGAAAGGGAAAAGATAATGAGAGGAAAGAGTAAGGTAGAATAATAAAAGAAGATTAAGAAGTAAATGGAAGGATTAAGTTGACAAGAGGATGAGGGAGGGTAGGGAAGGAGGAGGGTGGGTTAAATATAGGATGTAAATACGTATAGATTTTCTATTGTATGATGTTGGTTTGAAATAGATTTGATTGATAAACATTTAATAAAGATATAATAAAAAAAAGAGTAACTCAGCAACAGGGAGAGTTCGGGTGGAAGATGAAGTGAGGCTGGAGAGCAGGAGCCTGGGAGGGAGCCCAGGTAGAGAGGGCTGGAAAGGAGGAAAACTTAGCACCTCATCGGCCCCCAAGAGAGAGGACTACCTGTGCAGCAGGGAAGGAGCGGCCCAGCTAGAAGACCTGGTAGCAGCCACCTACCCATCAGCTCACAGACAGAGGACTGAGAAAGTAGACCTACATCCCCTGGGCCAGAAAGGGGAAGGAAAACTCTAGTGGGAAACTGGAATAGCTGCTTACCCAGGACTGTCTTACATTGGATCCCCTGTCCAGGGATTCCTTCAGGCAACCAGATTAGGAGAGTCTGGGGTGGTACTACAGGAGATTCTGACTAGCTCTCCAGAAGAGAAATGTTGCTGTAAAGACTTGTACATAATTCAGGAAGATTGTCCTCTGTTGCCATACCCTTGGGCATCTCATACACCCCTACCTTCTCCAAGTTGAATTCCCCTTATAAAAAAACAAAGCTCAAGGACTGGTCACTGTCTCCTAGATGCAAGTCTGTGTGGAAAATGCATGTTGCCTGGCTGTGCAGGACTATAGGGGGACCAAAATATCAGTGACTCCTAAGGGGGTAGTGCTACATCTACTTGATAATTCACTCTCTCAAACAACATTGACTATTTGTAATTCTTTGCTGCTAGCATTATTAAATACAGAGGACGGTATAATATATTTACTTGTTTAAAAAAATGTTTTACATTTCTTCAGTTACTTCCTGGTTTCCATGCCTAGAAAAATGATGTTATACATTCCAGGAGTCTTGAAGAGGAGAGGAGGGGTTTTCTCAGCTAAGCACACCCTCCTGCCTGCATGTCTGGGCTAAGAGCAGATGGATTCCAGGAAGTAAATGCTTCATGAATGATCTACCCTTACTCAAGATGGCCATGGTCAGAAATGTTAGGGAGTGTTTTTCAAAGTAATTTCTTTCAAAGTAATTTCTCAGCAAAATAAAGCATGGAGATATGTATGGATGGGGGAGTTTGCTTTGAATACTATATATGAATTATATAGTGTTTTTGGCATGTGGTGCTCAGATAGATCCTCTTTAAAACCGTTTTTCAGTCTGAAAAAAATAAAAAAAAGTCAGCAGTTAAAATACTGTAGCTAATATCTTTTAACAAAAGGATACTCACCTGTCCAGGGATCCAGCACCATCCTTACTTGGACTAGTTCTTAACTAGTCTCCAGGTCTCCAGCATCTTCAGTGTGGGAAGCTGGTTGTGATTCCTTGCGGCTTC